CCCAATACTAAATTACGAGCCCGGGCCTTCCCCCAATACTAAATTACGAGCCCGGGCCTTCCCCCAATACTAAATTACGAGCCCGGGCCTTCCCCCAATACTAAATTACGAGCCCGGTCCTTCCCCCAATACTAAATTACGAGCCCGGGCCTTCCCCCAATACTAAATTACGAGCCCGGGCCTTCCCCCAATACTAAATTACGAGCCCGGGGGTTTAGATAGTTTAGATAGTTTACATAGTTTAGATCATTTTGGTGGTAGGTTGGGTCATGGGTGGAGCCCAAAACTACCTAAACTATCTAAACTACTTAAATTATCTAAACTATCTAAACCAAGGGTCCCCCCAATACTAAATTACGAGCCCGGCCCCCCCCCAATACTAAATTACGAGCCCGGCCCCCCCCCAATACTACTTTACGAGCCGGGCCCCCCCCAATACTAAATTTCGAGCCCGGGCCTCCCCCCAATACTAAATTACGAGCCCGGGCCTCCCCCCAATACTAAATTACCAGCCCGGGCCTTCCCCCAATATTACATTACGAGCCCGGGCCTTCCCCCAATACTAAATTACGAGCCCGGGCCTTCCCCAAATACTAAATTACGAGCCCGGGCCTTCCCCCAATACTAAATTACGAGCCCGGGCCTTCCCCAAATACTAAATTACGAGCCCGGGCCTTCCCCCAATACTAAATTACGAGCCCGGGGGTTTAGATAGTTTAGATAGTTTACATAGTTTATATAATTTTGGTGGTAGGTTGGGTCACGGGTGGAGCCCAAAACTGCCTAAACTATCTAAACTATTTAAACTATCTAAACTATATAAACTATCTAAACCAGAGGGGGTTTAGATAGTTTAGATAGTTTAGATAGTTGGGGGAGAGGCCTAAACTATTTAGATTATCTAAACTATCTAAACCGGGGGGGGGGGTTAGATAGTTTAGATAGTTTAGATAGTTGGGGGAGAGGCCTAAACTATTTAAACTATCTAAACTATCTAAACCAGGGGGGTTTAGATAGTTTAGATAGTTTAGATAGTTGGGGGAGAGGCCTAAACTACCTAAACTATCTAAACTATCTAAACCAGGGGGGGTTAGATAGTTTAGATAGTTTAGATAGTTTAGATAGTTTAGATAGTTTAGATAGTTGAGGGGGGGGGGGGTGGGTCTAAACCAGGGGGGTTTAGATAGTTTAGATAGTTTAGATAGTTGGGGCAGAGGCCTAAACTACCTAAACTATCTAAACTATCTAAACCGGGGGGGTGGTTTAGATAGTTTAGGGGGGAGGTTGGTCCCGGGTGGAGCCCAAAACTACCTAAACTACCTAAACTACCTAAACTATCTAAACTATCTAAACCAGGGGGGTTTAGATAGTTTAGATAGTTTAGATAGTTTAGATAGTTTAGATAGTTGGGGGAGAGGCCTAAACTACCTAAACTATCTAAACTATCTAGACCGGGGGGGTTTAGATAGTTTAGATAGTTGGGGGAGAGGCCTAAACTACCTAAACTATCTAAACTATCTAAACCAGGGGGGTTTAGATAGTTTAGATAGTTTAGATAGTTGAGGGGGGGGGGGGGGGTTGGGTCTAAACCAGGGGGGTTTTGATAGTTTAGATAGTTTAGATAGTTGGGGCAGAGGCCCCTAAACTACCTAAACTATCTAAACTATCTAAACCGGTCGGGGTGGTTGGTTTGATAGTTTAGGGGGCGGGGGGGGGGGGGCGTGGGCCCCGGGGGAGCCCAAAACTACCTAAACTACCTAAACATCAACTATCTAAAACCAGGGGGGTTTAGATAGTTTAGACAGTTTAGATAGTTGGGAGAGAGGCCTAAACTACCTAAACTATCTAAACCGGGGGGGGGGGTTTAGATAGTTTAGATAGTTTAGATAGTTTAGGGGTGGGAGCTTGGGTCCCGGGTGGAGCCCAAGACTACCTAAACTACCTAAACTACCTAAACAATCTAAACTAGGGGGTTTGGATAGTTTAGATAGTTTAGATAATAGGGGGAGAGGCCTAAACCACCTAAACTATCTAAACTATCTAAACTATCTAAACCGGGGGGGTTTAGATAGTTTAGATAGTTTAGATAGTTGGGGGAGAGGCCTAAACTACCTAAACTATCTAAACTATCTAAACCAGGGGGGGTTTAGATAGTTTAGATAGTTTAGATAGTTTAGATAGTTTAGATAGTTTAGATAGTTTAGATAGTTTAGATAGTTTAGATAGTTTAGGGGGCTGGGGGTTGGGTCTAAACCAGGGGGATTTAGATAGTTTAGATAGTTTAGATAGTTGGGGGAGAGGCCTAAACTACCTAAACTATCTAAACTATCTAAACCTGTGGGGGTTTAGATAGTTTAGATAGTTTAGATAGTTTAGATAGTTTAGATAGTTTAAGGGGGGGGGTGGTTGGGTCTAAAGCAGGGGGGTTAGATAGTTTAGATAGTTTAGATAGTTGGGGGAGAGGCCTAAACTACCTAAACTATCTAAACTATCTAAACCGGGGGGGAGGGTTTAGATAGTTTAGATAGTTTAGATAGTTTAAGGGAGGGGGGTTGGGTCTAAACCAGGGGCGTTTAGATAGTTTAGATAGTTTAGATAGTTTAGATAGTTGGGGGAGAGGCCTAAACTACCTAAACTATCTAAACTATCTAAACCGGGGGGGAGGGTTTAGATAGTTTAGATAGTTTATATAGTTTAAGGGGGGGGGGGGGTTGGGTCTAAACCAGGGGGGTTTAGATAGTTTAGATAGTTTAGGTAGTTTAGATAGTTTAGATAGTTTTGATAGTTTAGATAGTTTAGATAGTTTAGATAGTTTAGATAGTTTAGATAGTTTAGATAGTTTAGATAGTTTAGGGAGGGCGGGTGGTGGCAAAAATCCGTGATTTCTGATCATTTTGGGCCCCCCAAATAGCAGATTTTCATGATTTTGGATCATTTTGTGCCTTGGAAACCCATCCCCGTGGCAAACTGCGTAGTTTTCGACCATTTTGGGCTCTCACAAATCCTGAGTTCAGGTGTGCAAAAAAGGAGATTTTCCGTAGTTTGGCAGCCGTAAACCCACCCAAATGGCAAATTTTGGTGTTTTTTGATCATTTTGGGCCTTCCCAAACCCTGAATAAATGCGAAAACATAGGGATTTTCGTTAGTTTGGCAGCCTTGGAAAACCACCAAATAATGAAATTTAGTGATTTTTGACCCTTTTGGACCTTACCAAACTCCGTATCAAGGCCAAAACATAGGGATTTTCGCTAGTCTGGCGGCCTTGGAAAACCTTCGAAATGGCAAATTTTAGTAAATTTTTGCGCAATTTGGACCTTCCCAAACCCTGAACTAAGGCCAAAACATAGGGATTTTCGTTAGTTTGGCAGCCTGGAAAAACCACCAAATAATGAAATTTAGTGATTACCAAGCGGACCTCGAGCTTCGCAGCCCCACCAACCGCAGCCCCCTGACTGGCGACACGGCACCGCAGGCGGTGGAGGTGCACGTGTACAACCTCGGGGAGACACTTGCTTTCAATCGGCCTCCTGATTCACCGTTTGAGTTTAGGGTTTAGGGGTACACAAGTTCTGTTGTCTAGAGCCATTGACCCAGCTGCCTGCATGAACCCCCTCCCCCTCCTCAGACTCCTCTCAGACATGCGAAGGAATTTCGTGGGCCCCAACCACGTGTTGAACTTTGGACCGGCCCTCGGCGGAGCCTTCCACATTGGCGTGGAGGCAAGTAGAACAAATGGGGCATGGTGTCAGCTTCATAAAACCCCTAAGCCCCAAAACCCTAAACCCTAAACCCTAAACCCACAAGATCACCCATCGTTGCCCGCTTCAGGTCTTCGGAGCCGAGTGGTCGTATGGCGTGCACGGCGTCGCTTGCGATCCACCTCGCTCCGAGACGGCGCACGTTTATGAGTCTTGGTAGCCCAGTGGGTGGCAGGGTTTAGGGTTTATAGGGTTTAGGGGTTTAGGGTATCTAACTTGGTAGCCCAGTGGTACCCTTTTCCCTTTTTTTGTTTCAGGGTTCCCTTATAAAGTAAGTAGCCCCAAAAAAAGGTGCCCTTATTACAATATGTTACTGGGCTACCAAGGAGTGCAGCATTCTTCTGGGGTCTACAGCTGCCTGGCTTTGATTTGGGTTTAAGGTTTAGGGTCAAGTTGTGGATCTTAAAGTACACCCCGAAACCCAGAACCCAGAGGCCAGGAGCCGCATGGAGGTGGCAGAAATTCTCTTCCACCTCTGCCAAGAGTGGCGAGGACGCGACTACGACATGTTCAGTCACAACTGCTGCAGCTTCGGCAGGAGGCTCGCATCCCTCAGCCGGACCCAGCCAAAACCACCCCAAAGCCCACACCCTAAACCCTAAACCCTAAACCGCCCAAAACCCCCCCCCTTCCCCACAGTTCCCCCTGCAGGTTCGTTGAGACTCTCGGCGTGCGTCCACTACCAGACTCTTGGGTCTTCATTGGTTTAGCTCTTGTTCCTGCTTGTGCTTAGCGTTCTGGGCTGAAAGGGTGCAGGGTTTAGGGTTTGCTTTCTTTTTGTTTAGGGTTGAGGCTTAGGGTGGGAAGGGGGTTGGCGTGCAAGGCTGCAAGTTTCAAGCTCTGAGGTTTAGAGCTGCAGGGCCCCTTTTTTTTGAACTGGTGTTTAAGCACAGTCACACAGTCCGCCCCACCCTGCCCAACCCTACAGTGGGTGACAGGCACGGCAAATGACCACGACCCAGCTGATGCTCATGATGATTTTTGACCATTTTTGGGCCTTCCCAAACTCCGTATCAAGGCCAAAACATAGGGATTTTCGCTAGTCTGGCGGCCTTGGAAAACCTTCGAAATGGCAAATTTTAGTAAATTTTTGCGCAATTTGGACCTTCCCAAACCCTGAACTAAGGCCAAAACATAGGGATTTTCGTTAGTTTGGCAGCCTGGAAAAACCACCAAATTATAAAATTTAGTGATTTTTGACCATTTTGGGCCTTCCCAAACTCCGTATCAAGGCCAAAACATAGGGATTTTCGCTAGTCTGGCGGCCTTGGAAAACCCTCGCAATGGCAAATTTTAGTGATTTCTTGCACAATTTGGGCCTTCCCAAACCCTGAATTAAAGCCAAAAACATATGGATTTTCGTTACAAAATAGTAAAAAACAATCATTTTTGATCATTTTGTGCGTAATAAGGCTAAAACATAGGCCTTGGAAAACCCTTAAAATGGCTAATTACAGTGGGTTTTTGCACATTTTGGGCTTCCCAAACCCTGACTTAAGGCAAAAACATACGGCGATTTATCACTTTGGAAGGTCACTTTTCCAAAACAATTAAGGGATGACAATGCTTGCGATTTGTCATTTTGGAAGCTCGGTTTTCCAAAACCTTCAGGGGACACTGCTTGCGATTTGTCATTTTGGGCGCTCAGTTTTCCAAAAACTTAAGGGGGACACTGCTTGCGATTTGTCGCTTGGGGCGCTCAGTTTGCCAAAAACTTAAGGGGAACACTGCTTGCGATTTGTTATTTTGGGAGCTCAGTTTTCCAAAAACTTAAGGGTGACACTGTTTGCGATTTGTCATTTTGGGCGCTCGGTTAAGTTAAGGGGGACACTGCTTGCGATCTGTCATTTTGGAAGCTCAGTTTCCAAAAAAAATCAGGGGGGACACTGCTTGCGATTTGTCATTTTCGGACCTCAGTTTTCCAAGAACTTAAGGGGGACACTGCTTGCGATTTGTCATTTTGGGCGCCCAACGCCCATCCCGCCTCGTCAATCAAGCCCAAATCACTGGGGCAGTTGGTTTCGCAAGCGTCTGGAGCTTAGGGGGCCACGTGACCAGACGAAGACCCAGCTGATGCGCATGATGCGCCCCTCCTGCCTCGTCAATCGTGCGAAATCAGTGGGGCAGTTGTTCTTATGGGGCTTGTGACCAGAAGAAGACCCAGCTGATGCTCATGATGCGCCCCTCCCGCCTCTAAAACAGTCCCAAACAAGGTCACAACCAATTGTAGCAAAAGTTGTCCGACTTATATACTTTTAGGCCCAGTTGTAGTTGCCCAATCCCAAAACCCCAAATCCACAATCTTAAACCAGTTTTCCAAAAGCTTAGGGGGGACACTGCTTGTGATTTGTCACTTTGGGCGCTCAGTTTGCCAAAAACTTAAAGGGGACACTGCTTGCGATGTGTCATTTTGGAAGCTCAGTTTTCCAAAAACTTCAGGGGGGCACTCAGGTTTCCAAGAACTTAAGGGGGACACTGCTTGCGATTTGTCATTTTGGGCGCCCAGGTTTCCAAAAGCTTAGGGGGGACACTGCTTGCGATTTGTCACTTTGGGCGCTCAGTTTGCCAAAAACTTAAAGGGGACACTGCTTGCGGGGACACTGCTTGCGATGTGTCATTTTGGAAGCTCAGTTTTCCAAGAACTTAAGGGGGACACTGCTTGCGATTTGTCATTTTGGGCGCCCAGTTTTCCAAAAGCTTAGGGGGGACACTGCTTGCGATTTGTCACTTTGGGCGCTCAGTTTGCCAAAAACTTAAAGGGGACACTGCTTGCGGGGACACTGCTTGCGATGTGTCATTTTGGAAGCTCAGTTTTCCAAAAACTTCAGGGGGGCACTGCTTGCGATTTGTCATTTTGGGAGCTCAGTTTTCCAAGAACTTAAGGGGGACACTGCTTGCGATTTGTCATTTTGGGTGCTCAGTTTTCCAAAAATTTCAGGTGGACACTGCTTGCGATTTGACATTTTGGGAGCTCAGTTCTCCAAAAACTTAAGGGGGACACTGCTTGCGGTTTGTCATTTTGGGATTTCATTTTGGGAGCTCAGTTTTCCAAAAACTTAAGGAGGACGTAAATTCCACCCCTGCCCAAGGCCGTCCCTAGGAAGAACAAGAAGAAGAGACACAAGCGAGGAGAGAGAGAGAGAGAGAGAGAGAGAGAGAGAGAGAGAGAGAGAGAGAGTGCGAGCAGAGAGAAGAGGGAGGACATTGCAGTGGGATGATTTGCGTCCTTACACAAACATTCTTGGTATGGAGAGAGCCAAAGAAGAGAAACAAGAGAGGCAAGGGTGGATGATTGACTAGTGGCGCCTCTCAGAATTTGTTGTTTATTCCTTCCTTCGTTCTTTCTTCTTCCCAAAGGCAAGAAAGGGACGAGAGGAGAGGGCATAAGGTATTCTACGACAATTGATTTGTTCTTTGTCCTCCTCCTGTTCTCCGAACCCTTTCTCCCCTCGATAAGAAAAACGAAAATAATGGACTTTTGTTCATTCCTTGGTGTTTTCCTCTTGTTGTCTGTTCCTTCTCGCCGAATGAGTCTGTTGAAAAGAAAATGCACAAATGAACAGGGGAGCCGTTTTGTCCTATCTGAACAGAACTGTTGGAAGTCAGGGGGGTGGATTGCAGAAGACAAACTGGAGGGAACAGGGGAACTCAGCCAAAGGGGCCACTTTTGCAACGAACAACTGCCTGCTTCTCTCTTCTCGTCCATGTGCTTTTCTCACCTATGACAAAATGGAGGGAACAAGGGAACTCAGGCCTGCACTAGGGGGAGCCGAGACCCCCTTTGCAACGAACAGCTACCTGCTTTCTTTCCTTGTTCTATCTTTGCGCTTTCTTGCTTTCTATTTTTATTTCTTTCTTTCGAGGGGTTTGTGGGGGAGACCCCCACACGCACGCGCGCAGCCCCAAATCCGACAACGCGAGACTGGTTGCAATTCTCTCCTCCATAAGAAAAGCAAAGAGCAGAGAAAAATGGAGAAGAGAGGAGGGCGAGGACGAAGGTAGCGGGATGATCTTGGGCTCTTGGACATTCATCTTTCTTTCCAGCAAGAACAGAGCCAAAGAAGAGAGATAAGAGAGGAGAGGAACGGATGGATGAAGACAGTGAGAATAAATCAGGGCTCCTCCCCCTTATGTTTTGTTTATTTCCTTTCTTTTTCTTCTTCCAACAAGAAAGGGAAGAGACGAGAGATGAGGACAGTGTGTAAATAGAAGAGTGACATATTTGAATGTTTACCTCTTCGTTGTTCTTCTCCTGTTATCCGACTCCTTTTCTCCTGAAAGAACCGCACGTTAGTCAAATGTTTGTTGCTTTCCTCTTGTTGTCTGTTCTTTTCTCGTTGAATGGGTAAGTCCAAAAAAATTGCACAAGTGGACAGGGGAACCGTCTTCGTCCTTTTACGCACCTCCCTTTTTTGTCCCTACAAGAAGGAACAGAAAAGTTGGAACGCAGAGAGGGATGAACGAACACAAAAGGAGTGGAACAGAGCGGAAAAGTGTGCCTCCCTTATGCAACAAACAAGTACTTGCTTCTCTCTCTTCCCGTCCAGATGCTTCGCTCATCTAGTGTTATGCATTCTTTCCTCCATAAGAAAAGCAAGAAGAGACAAAAGCTAGAAGTAGTGAGATTGGTTCGTGTTCTTAAATCTTCATTCTGCAAGAAGAGGACCACATGGAGGATGAACGCAGTGAGACTGAGTAAGGGCGCTTATCTGTATTATTTGTTATTCCTTCCTTGTGCTTTTTTCTTGTACATTCTGCTCGTGGCTTTCTCTTTCTTTTTCTTGCTGTTAGCTTGCTTAGACACTCTTGTTAGTTCCTTGTGCTTTCCCCTATTGTCTGTTCCTTTCTCGCTGAGTGGGTAGACGAAAGAACACGCGCGAGTGGACAGGGGAACCGTCTTCGTCCTTGTATTTACTCCCTGCTTTCTCCTTAAAAGAAGTTGGAACGCTGGGGAGGCATTACAGAAGGCAAAAGGAAGGGGAGCAGGGGAACTCATCCCGGCTCTAGGGAGAAAGTGTGCCTCCTTATGCAACAAACAAGTACTTGCTTCTCTCTCTGTTCCCGTCCAGATGCTTCGCTCATCTAGCGTTATGCATTCTTTCCTCCATAAGAAAACAAGAAGAGACAAAAGCTAGAAGGGAGAGCGCAGAGAGAAGAGGGAGGATGAAAGTAGTGAGATTGGTTTGTGTTCTTAAATCTTCATTCTGCAAGAAGAGGACCACATGCAGGATGAATGCAGTGAGACTGAGCAAGGGCGCTTATATTTATTATGTGCTATTCCTTCCTTGTGCTTTTTTCTTGTACATTCTGCTCGTGGCTTTCTCTTTCTTTTTCTTGCTGTTAGCTTGCTTAGACACTCTATTGTTAGGTCCTTGTGCTTTCCCCTATTGTCTGTTCCTTTCTCGCTGAATGGGTAGACGAAAAGAACATGCACAAGTGGACAGGGTAACCGTCTTCGTCCTTGTATTTACTCCCTGCTTTCTCCTAAAAAGAAGTTGGAACGCTGGGGAGGCATTACAGAAGGCAAAAGGAAGGGGAGCAGGGGAACTCATCCCTGCTCTAGGGAGAAAGTGTGCCTCCTTATGCAACAAACAAGTACTTGCTTCTCTCTCTGTTCCCGTCCAGATGCTTCGCTCATCTAGCGTTATGCATTCTTTCCTCCATAAGAAAACAAGAAGAGACAAAAGCTAGAAGGGAGAGCGCAGAGAGAAGAGGGAGGATGAAAGTAGTGAGATTGGTTTGTGTTCTTAAATCTTCATTCTGCAAGAAGAGGACCACATGCAGGATGAATGCAGTGAGACTGAGCAAGGGCGCTTATCTTTATTATGTGCTTATTCCTTCCTTGTGCTTTTTTCTTGTACATTCTGCTCGTGGCTTTCTCTTTCTTTTTCTTGCTGTTAGCTTGCTTAGACACTCTTGTTAGGTCCTTGTGCTTTCCCCTATTGTCTGTTCCTTTCTCGCTGAATGGGTAGACGAAAAGAACATGCACAAGTGGACAGGGTAACCGTCTTCGTCCTTGTATTTACTCCCTTCTTTCTCCTTAGAAAGAAGTTGGAACGCTGGGGAGGCATTACAGAAGGCAAAAGGAAGGGAACAGGGGAACTCATCCCTGCTCTAGGGGAAGAAGTGTGCCTCACTTATGCAACAAACAAGTACTTGCTTCTCTCTCTTCCCGTCCAGACGCTTCGCTCATCTAATGTTATGCATTCTTTCCTCCATAAGAAAAAACAAGAAGAGACAAAAGCTAGAAGGGAGAGCGCAGAGAGAAGAGGGAAGATGAAAGCAGTGAGATTGGCTTCCGTTCGTAAGTCTTTCTGCAAGAAGAGAACCACAGAAGAGAACAAAGAGAGGATAAGAGGATGAATGCGGTGAGACTGAGCGCGGGCATTTCTCTTTGTCATTTGTTGTTCGTTCCTAGTGTTGTCTTGTGCGTACTGCTCAGAAAAGTTGGAACGCAGTGGAGGCATGAAGGCAAAATGGAGGAATAAGGGAACTCAACCGCACTCTATGCGAAGAGGAGCCCAGGGAACCCAGGCCTGCACCAGGGGAGCCGAAACCCCTTTGCAGCGAACAGCTGCCTGCTTTCTTTCTTTCTGTCTGTCTTGCTTTCTTTGTTTCGTTCTTTCTTTCTGTTTCCTTTCTCTCAAGGGGTTTGTGGAAGGAGGCCCCCACTCGCACGCGCGCAGCCCCAAATCCGACTTCGCGAGACTGCTTGCAGTTTCTCTCCTCAATAAGAAAAGCAAAGAGCAGAGAAAAAGGGAGAAGAGAGGAGAGCGAGGACGAAGGTAACGAGATGATCTTGGGTTCTTGGACATTCATCTCTCTTTCCGACAAGAACAAAGCCAGAGAGGGAGATAAGAGAGGTGAGGAGAGGATGGGGCGCCTCCCCCTTATGGTTTATTTCCTTCCTTTTTTCTTCTTCCAACAAGACAGGGAAGAGAGGAGAGATGAGGACAGTGTGTAAATAGAAGAATGACATATTTGAATGTTTACCTCTTCGTTGTTCTTCTCCTGTTACCCGACTCCTTTTCTCCTGAAAGAACCGCACGTTAGTCAAATGTTTGTTGCTTTCCTCTTGCTGTCTGTTCTTTTCTCGTTGAATGGGTAAGTCCAAAAAAATTGCACAAGTGGACAGGGGAACCGTCTTCGTCCTTGTGTTTACCCCCTTCTTTCTCTTTAAAAGGAATAGAAACGTTGGAACGCAAAAAAAAGGGGAACCGGGGAACTCACCCCTGCCCTAGGGGAGAGTGTGTCTCCCTTATGCAACAAACAAGTACTTGCTTCTCTCTCTTCCCGTCCATGTGCTTCGCTCATCTAGTGTTATGCATTCTCTCTTCCACAAGAAAACGAGACAAGACGAAAGCTAGAAGGGAGAGAGCAGAGAGAAGGGGGAGGATGAAAGTAATGAGATTGGTTTGTGGTCTTAAATGTTCATTCTGCAAGAAGAGAACCACAGAAGAGAAAGAAGGGAGGACTAGATGATGAATGCAGTGAGGCTGAGTGCGGGCACTTCTCTTTGTCATTTGTTCTACATTATGCTCGTGGCTCGTCCCTTTTTCTTCCTTGTTGTTATCTATCTTGCTTAAACACTCTTGCTAACTCCCAACATTAAGACCCTAAATCCCATAATCCAAGTATCAGACGTCCCGATGAGTCCTGAGCCTAGACCCTAAACCCTAAACCCGAAACCTTCAGTAGTATAGAACATACTAAAACAAAGAGAACATGCCTAATAATACATAAAGGTTCCTCTTACATATATATATATATATGCCATCTGGGCTCTTGCAACAGCCATGACACGTTTCTTTTTTTGCCTTCCTCTGCCTGCTCTCCGAAACAGGACGCACCACAACAGACCGCAACCGTCGGGTTGTCGCGCGCTCTTACTTGGCACATTCTTGGGAAGGTGTGAAGCAAATGCGCCGTGGCAATCTGCGTGTGGCGTGCCAACGTAGCATGTAGGAGCAGATCTGGAGCACTATGCCACATCTTCAAAAGAATTTGGGCCCTTTATGGCCCTTTCCATGTGCGGGGATCTACGACTTTCTAGACGTGTTGGTGCTCATCGCGGCCATTTCAACAAGTTGCCACTGTGCTAGGCTTCCTTCAACCTAAAAAACTGACACCCGAAGCCCAGCCGAATTACTGAACACACCCGTCCCTCCCGTTGCTCGTAGGCCGAGTTCAATCGACCCAGGTTGGCTGACCAAATAGGACACGGCCAACCTCACAAACAAAACCACATCAGAGCCTCGCGAAACTGGTCCACCACCCCCTGCAGCATCGAAGCGACGGCACCGCCGGCCTTTGCTTGTGGACATGAGCTAGAATATCAGATTTACTATGATTTACTGTATGTTGCTTTGCGCTCCGGGGGCCCGTCAGAGGGCCGGCTTTCGGCTCGTCTGCCGAGCATTCTCGTCGCTGCAAGCTGCGTGCGGGCCGAGAGCAAGCATACGCGGCATTCGTGTTGGTAGAGTGAATCGCTGCAACAAGCATCGGTATCAGCTAACCAATAGGCACCCTCGCAGACTCGTCTGCACCCGGGAACCATGCTAGGGTTCCACGCCCCAACTCCGAGAAAACATCGGTTTTCAGATTCGAGCTTGGGGTGGCACGTCGCGCATTTCGCTCAGGAAGTCCACCAGCAATCTTTCATCCGTCCGCACCTGTGCTCCGCGCGATTTTCAGGGCGGGATAGCCTGGTGTTGCTGCTAAGCCTGGGTAGGTTTTGGACTATGCCTCTTCAACCCTTAAACGTTAATTCCGTGAGACCTCCTGAACTCCTGAACCTCCGTACAAGCACCATTCGGACGTTGATTGTTTTTTGGGCATAGGATAGGACTTGGTCCGCCCTCAAGCTTGAAGCCCTCCCGAGGCGGCCTGCGAGTTCGCCGAATCCTTGGGGTCGGGGCTCGAGGCTTTGTGTTTGTGTGTTTGTGTGTTTGCGTGTTTGTGTGTTTACGTGTTTATGTGTTTGCGTGTTTGTGTGTTTGTGTGTTTGCGTGTGTGTGCGTCTGTGTGTCTGTGTGGGGGTGGGTGGTGTGAGGAGGTTTCGGATCCAGCTGTTTACTGTAGCAGGCTTGTCTCACCTCCTGTTTATCCCCGCATGCACTCAGCTTTACAGATCCCGAACGCCCGAAACATCAAAGCCCCAATCATGTTGAATCGATCTGTCGAACAGCCGGGCATCGCTATAGTTCAGGCGCAAGGTCTGCAGCAGCGTCTTCTTCGAGGCATCCAACGCCCTGCAGTGACTCGCAAGGAGTGCACCACCATGTGCCAGATGTCTAGGGCTCCGGCTGCGAAGCTTTGGCGTGTTTTGCGGGGGCCAATGCTACGCCAGCTACTGTTTTCGGGCTCTTAGGTACTGCTGCCAGCGCCAGACGAAAAAGCCGGCCAAATGGACGCAGTAGGAGGACCAAGACTGCTTCTAAGCACAGAGGTTTCACAGAGGTGTAGTGTAGCCATACTTGCAATAAGTTGCACAAGCTGCCTCTAGGATACATGAGATCAGCTTAAACCTACATCTATGCTTCAACAAAACCCATTCAAAGCCAGTGTCAGATTTCCCCCTGAAACCCTAAACCCTAAACCCTAAACCCCACAGCAGATGTTCTTTCTCTGTCGACTCCATCGACGTCGAGGCCAACATCAAGCAGGGGACCCTGCCAAGCTTGTTCCGACTACGCTGAGATAAGCTGAGTTGTTGCATTCTTTGACACCGGACGTGCCAAAACGTAGCAGGGGCTCCCTACCTATGCGATTGGGCCGATGCCCACCACAAGGGACAGGAAGGACATGTTCAGCGCAGTGAAACCCGGCAGTTTCTCGAACCCTAAAGCTTGTCTGCGGAAGTTCCATCCCCTGGTGATTGTTGAGAGAGTTATAGAGGTTTAGACTGCTTGGGCTTAGGGCTTCTTGAACTTCGAGTTGAGGAAACGCCGATCGTTTGAAGTCATTACCGACACCAGTCAGGGATAATGAATTAGCACAGCACGCCAAGCCCCCCAGATTGGGGGGATGTCGTTTATTCTCTCGGGTTCAGAGCATAGTGACGGGACTCTGCTCAGGCTTCAGCAGCCTAAGTGCCTATCAGTGAACTTATTAAAGACTTATTAAAGACTTATTAAAGACGTATCAACTCAACCGTTTTTCATTTCGGGAGATCGAGGCGGCAGTGCCGTGGTGCACCCCGTTGGTGTGGGCTGGGCATGGCACATCCTGGCTGTTTGGCCAGGTGCTGGCGCACGAAAACGGGGCCTGAGACCGAGCAGACATTGCTGCAAGTGCTCCACCCTGACGCTCAGAGGCTCACTCCACCGACATTTCGACCTTGCTTCCGCTGGCCACCACGATCTCGCTTATCAGGCGGTCGGCTTTGATGCCCTCCTCGACCAGCAGCGTAGGGTTTTCAATGGCTAGGGCCCTAGGGCTGCTGGGGTAGAGCCCTTATCCAAAGGACCCTCTTGTGAAAGTAAATATTCAAATAATCCCCCATACTTGGGGAGACAGGCCATGTTGAAACCACGCACAATCCTGACTGCAATGCCCCCTGCTGAGTGCCCGGTGTTGGAGGCCCATGGTGCGAAATATCCCGCCTTCTTCAGCATTCGCTTGATGCTCAGTACGCGACCATGGGCGTAAGGCTCACGCTTGTCCATGGGCTCGTCAGGGAAGTCCTGACAAACGATGAGTTCATGGCCACAAAGCTGCGGAAAGCGGAAGAAAGCTGCGAGTGTACAGATCGGAATGCAAGGCAGATCTAATCGTACTATTCGACGTCAAGGAAGAAAAGGTCACGATGCAGATGACGCCGAAAGATGCCGACATGTTTTCTGAAGCACACCAAATATGCCCTGCATCTGACGCCTTGCAGCCCTGAAACTTTGCTAAGCTTGACTTGCAGGGAGTCATAAAGCACCTCAAAAAAAGTCGCCAGATTTTTGTCGATCTCCATTGCAAGCCAGTTGAAGCATCGGGCCGCTGAGGCAGCTTTTGCCCCCACACTCCCACCCCCCCGTCCGTCGAGTAGTCTTTGCTGAAGGCTGCCTCCGTGACGTGGTTGTTCCTTGGCAGATCGGGAGGCTCATGGAAAAGGCAAAGCATGCACACTATTGCACACTGCCTCTTCAGTTGGGAAAAGTAGGGCCTTCGCAGTCTCGGGCAGGTCGGCTCATGCTGTGACATATCATTCTGCTTTCATATCCGTGACATATCATTCTGCTTTCATATCCAGCCGAGTGGGGCCAAACCTCTGGCAAGTGCAAAAGGATGTGATTTGGTGTGAACTCTGATGGAGGCCGCCGGCGTCAAATGATGTCCACCCGACGTATACTGTTTCCCCCTACAGTCCGGCCATGTGGTAACAGCCGGGGGTGGGGCTTGCCCGGACAGCGTGTACGAACTGAGCTCGCCACTTGCCCCGGAACCCTTACGCCAATAACGCATAAACTCTCTAAACCCCTCTAAGCCCTGAGCCTAAACCCTAAACCCTAAACCCTAAACCCGAAAATGCAGCCACCCACAAACACCATGAAGCCAAAGGGTCATCCCTCGGCCACTCGAGATGCCCTTCAGGCGCAGCTGCAAGGAGGGGTACCTGAGAACAAATCCGGGGAGTTCATAGCCACAAAGGACATATAGATATGGATAAACATATAAACGAAAAACAAATAAATAAACTTATACATATATACATATATAGTATACTACAACAACAATAACATATAACACGAAAACAAAAAACTAAACACATGTATTAGGGCTGAGGAATGAGCCCCCCCCAAAACCACCGAAGCCAAGTTCAGGGAGCGGGGGGCCCCCAAGGCGGGGCTTTAGGTGCGGGACGACTTGCCAGTCTGGGGGCTTTAAGGCTTCAGCCAAGGGACTGAAGGAGGGACCCTGGTAAGGGGACCTTGGGGTTTATCTAGGGGTTCTTTAGGGGCTACTTAGGTATATGCGGACGATAGAAGCTAGATAAACAGGGGTTCTATGGGGGAACATGATGAAGGGTCCCTTCTAGGTGCCCCTCCTTATACCCCTTAATTCAGGCTCTCAAGGCTTCATGATCTTACCCTTTCAGGAAGCCACCTATGATCCCTTGGTTCGTGATGGAACTTCGGGTTGAGCTAGTGGGTTTCGGCATCATGTCATGTAGGCTTACCTGTGCCGCTGCCCGGGCGCAGCTTAGGGTTCCACTTGTCTTCTGTTTCCTTTCGGGATGACGTGTTGCAGTTCGGCAAGCGCTATGGGGGCGTGTGGAACCAATGCTCGCCCAAACCAGCGGCTGCGAGTTTCGACCCAGTAGCACTCACTAAAACCTTCCTTCTTCAGCTACATATTACTTCAGCAGTATGCTGCATAAAGTGGAAGGCTCTTGGTCCGTAACCTTCTTCCCGCATTGACAGGCCCAAGCGCTTCTTGAGAACTGCTGCAACCTCCTTGATGAGGGCATGGTTCTCCTCCCTCTCTGAGGCATTCCAGGCCTACCACGCATCAGAATACCGATGCTTCTGTAAGATATCTAAGACATTCGAACTCGACTGAAGTGCCTACTGTGAAAGTCGCCACCTCTTTGGTGTCACATGGAGTTGGCGGTCCAGCTCTCCCCCCACCCCCCCACCCGCACCCTGACACCATGAGTGCTCTGCTTAGGGTTTTCCGGTTTCGGAAATCCTCCAGCCTTCTGCATCTTCTCCTCAATGGACTCCTGGGGCTCATTGCCGCCCCAGGAGTAGTCATTGAAGACCTCGAGGGAAGTTGAGACTCCCCCGATATGAGTTCGACCAAAGACGCTTTGTTGAGGGAGCGCTGTGCTCGCTGCTACTAGTAGCACCCGGCTCTGAAGGGCCTACTAAAACCTGCCTTTGAGCCAGCAGGGGATGCAATTCGCCCGGTCCAAGGGAAGACTCTTTTAACTCTTTTGAGGGCAACTCTTAAACTGTAGGTTGCACTAGATTACAGGATTGCAACCCGGTGAACACACAACCCAAAGCTCTCAGCAGGTGCAGAGGATCTGAAACCTTCGGGTCGTACACAGAAGCCCTGTGAAAGACTTTGGAGCCCTTGCGGCTTAGAGGCCACCGTCTTTCCTTGGATGCTGCAAGGCAGTTCTGAAGCAGTCGTGGGCAACGTTTCATGTTTTCACGGTTCGTTGTGGCTCATGCTTGGGGCCTACATTTTTTCCTGAGCTTTACAGCACTTGAGCGAAAGACTCGGTGCAGCGAAGGCATGCAGCAATCATATTGGTGCACAGCCAAGTTTCCAGTCAGCACCTGCGTCAGCTCGGTGGTGCCCTGCTCCACTTGCTTCTCCTTGCTCAGAGCCTGCACAAGGCAGCCCAACTTGAAAGCTTAGAGCCCCTCTCAGTGGCAATACAATGCGAAGCATGGCACAATTTGAGGGCACTGCATCGTCTGCTGAACATGCTCTCCCCCAACACTTGACAGCTAGTTCGGTTGACCCTTGCCATTGCTGAAGGGGAAAATGAACCCATCGCCACGCCAGACTCAACTTCTCGAAGCCCGGTTGACCTAAACTTTGGACTCAAACCTGAACCCGATGCCGAGGCAGAGGGAGGCTGCTGGTGTCTAGAGAAATACCTTTTGGGGCTGTAGGGCTCAGAGCGTTGAAGAGGTCTAGTCTTTTGTCTTGGGACTGAGTCCAAGGTTTTCTTACTGCGTTGCGGAACCGCCTGGCCAATGGCATAGGCCTTGGGAGGAGAGTGCTGCTTCACGTCCATGCCGACCTGAACTCAAACTGCCGCCCTAACAATTCTGAAGCTTTGGGTTTCAGGAGGGTTTAGACTTTCAACTGCGTCTGGGATGCCTGTACTACCGGACTACCTTGTACTTTTGCGGTTGACCCCGCAGCCTGAAGCAGACAGCAGGGTCCATGAAGTCTAGTGGTTTTTCCATCAACGAACCTTCAATTTCACAAATTGTCCCCTCGCCCCCCCCACCGCCGCTCTCGAGAAAGGAGGCTTACCTTCTCACCGCGGGCGGGCGCGTTTTCTTTTGTCTTTGCTGCTGCAAGGCGCAGTCCAGCTCACTCACCAAGGGAAGAAACAGTCACAGCAAACACACCCACCCCCTCAAAAAAAAGACAAAAAGGAGGAACAACACTGCGCCCCTGGACCTCCTCGGTGTCCTCGTCGATGCGCAGCTTTCCTGTCATCCTGGGAGTGAGGCATATGGAGCTCTTATAGTTTTGGGGGGCCGCAGTCGGGGAGCGTTTGTGGTGACCGGTGATGGCTGAAGCCTCACTCGCCCGTTCATGGCTCTATCAATCCAAGCCAGCCCTGATGAATGCTAAAGGGGCCTTGAGCACCTGCGGGCTCGCACCTTTGCAGGATCTCTTTTCGGGCTGTGAGGGTCTGAAACTTATTTGTGAAGCTTGCTCGAAACCCGAAGAGGATAGAGACAACAAAGGAGGTCTAAGAGCTCGTCGGGTCCAGGCTAAGTGAGGCCGAGGTCAGAATCCATGAGCCCAACCACTCAGCAGACCCCTGTTTTGAATCCATACTACCATTTGCCTCTAGTCTTCTAAACCCTGAACATCCCTGAACCCTAAACCCTAAACCCGATGGCACCACTTGTAACTTGGAGCCTCCTTCCCCAGCATGCTATCTTTAAAGCGCCAAGGTGCTTCAGGCAGAAGAAAGCAATACCGGAGAGCGATCCAGCCCAGAGAATCACCATGATGACCTGGCGAAGTTTCGAGTCCAGGGTCTCGAAAGAACAGGGCCTTTGTTCAGGAGGTGTACGAAGTCCACACGCGCAGCAGAAAGCCAGCAGTGGTCTTTCAGGCACAAGGGCAGTCGGATAGTTCTGGGAGAAAGCATGTGGGGTAGCGGACTTCAGGGTTCAACCTCGAGATCTCCTCCACAAGCGATTCACTCGTGCGACATGGCAGCAGTAGCATCTACTTTGAATCCAACACCTTCGGCCAAGGAGGAAGTGCCCTCAAGCACAACCTCGACCCATGACCATGGATCACAGCCGACGAACGAAAAGCCGCCCAAAGTCCCCTTTAACTAGCAAGTCCAGTTTTCAGGTGATTCAAGTGAATCAGGTGACTAAAGAGCATGCAAAGAGCATGCGGGCATGAATCTCTCAGTGCTTAGCTGGCTACGCACGGATTTCTGGAACAAAGGGCTGCAAGCAAGGAACACCCACCTAGCATTCAGCCCTTTCAGCAGTGAAGCTGCTTGAAGCACCGGTGGCCCCAAAAAGGCTCTGAGCCCAACAGGAACTCTGAAATTGCAGGTCCGGGGACCAGGATGCACTGGGCGCCGAGAGCGGTGCCGGCAATGCCGCTTTGGCAGGTCGAGTCGGTCTCGCTGACAGGCCTAAGGGAAGACGACGTGGCTTCAAGGTCGAGAGTTCGGATGGCTCTAAGCCTTAGAGTCTAAGGACCTTTAGGGTGCAAGAGTTGGGCTCAGGAGCGGAAAAAGCAACACCAGTCGGACCCAAACATCCTGAATACGGACACAGTCCTTGTGTGGCAGGCTGCATGCAACTGAATCCTGACCATCCGTGGTAGGTGTCGAAGCCCTTGCCCCAGTCGAAGAGGCCTCTTTGTGAAGCGGTGTGCAGCCAAAAGTCTGATCTTTAGATGCAACTGAGCATTCAAATTCGCCAACCTATACAGTTCCTTCTTTAGCTCACTCTCCGACTTCTCTGCCTTTGCCAGGCTCTTGACTGCAGCCAATGACTCTGTGACTCGATGACTCGGTGACTCTGTGACTCGGTGACTCTGTGACTCTGTGACTCTATGACTCTTTGACTCTAAGTCTATGAGAATTCGTGAGGAAGCCCACAAGAGACAAACTATTCAATAACCCACCCAAATCACCCAAAGCCCGAAAGTGGGAATCCTCAACGCCCAGTTGGCCCATGTAGTGGCCTTGCGCAAGGCAACCCCAAATGCCGCAGAAGCCGTGAACTGGGCTGGCATCCACCTCATGCAGTTAAGCACTGATGGCCATGGTAGAGGTCTAAGGAGGAAGTCGGCCAACAGCATCCGCCCTGAGTACACTTGGGTTGAGGGAGGTTGAGGGTTGAGGAGCTTAAGGACTTATTGTCTACACTGAGTCTACACTTGCATGATCTACTGAAGGAGTCGAGTTTACCCCAGCTCTTTTTTCAACGGGGTGGTGTCTTGGCAAGATCAAGTCCTTTCCAGCGTGCGAGAGTTGCAGCACACTCAGCGGGTGCACCAGCATGCAAGAAGTGCTGAGACAAGAGTGAAAGAGAAAGAAGAGGGAGGACGTCGGAGGGGTGAAATGCGGCCATCCCAAACTCCATATGCTCCAAAACTCCTCAACCCCGACAGCCGAACTTCTAACGCTCTGAACACGTAAACCCAAACCTCCTCAACTCCTATCCCTCGTCCCTTAGGGTCCCTTTATGATTATACTACTTAACCCCCCCAAAACCCTATTTTTCTAATCGTTAAGGCATTAAGGCCCCTTTTTCAAGCCCCCCCCCCCCTCAATGTCCAATGCCCCCAATGTCCCAGTGGCCGGGTCGTCAATCTCCAGCTTTTGCAGGAACATGGAGGCTGCCTCACTTGCAGGGTGGGCGATAAGGGGCCCAATAATCCCCATACTCAACCTCATGAACGGACCTGTTTAAGGGTTCTAACTTATAGGGTACAATAGCCCGTCCTCATTTGCAGGACTCAAAGGAGGCTTGTGCATCAGCCGGTTCGGGGGTCTTGGGCTCGTGAGTTCTGGGCTTCGCTGCTTTCGAAGACCCCACCAACTCTCTCAACCTCGAAACCTTCCTCAAACCATCCCTCTCTAATAAACTGGCCCGGGACGTGCCAAATCCCACACATTCCTTTCAGCAGCCTTGAAATGTCCACAAAAGGGTGCGCAACCCGTCCAAGCACGCGCACGCACGCTCGGACACTGAATTCTCCAAAGCTCCCGTGGCTCCAGCCTACAAAACGTCTCACAGCGTCCATTCCATCCTATTGTATTGTCATTGTTCTTCTCCGAGCTAGTGTTACCGCTGTTGATGTTGTTGTTGGGCGAGCGGCCTGGTAGACAATTCCTCCGATCAAGCCGATGGCAAAGGCGCTGCCACTTTCGACGTTTCCTCGTCCGCAGCTCAGGTCTTAAGTCCTATGGCTTCTACCACTAGGCCTGGGCTGCAAACCTTACCTTTGCTATCTTACTTATACCTCGGGAGGTTCCCCCTTATACCTAACAGTCCTGAATAGGGACTATAGCACCCGCCCCTCTTTTTTTGTTTAGTACTTATGCCCTCCGAGAGACTCCAAAGTGACACAGCCTTGACAACTTCAGGGCAAAGCGGCCGCAGGGAGCGGTGATGGACACCAAGCCAGCCAGGATGCCATTGCCTTTGGGGAGCACTGCGTGGAAGGGGGCGTCGGGTTACTGACTTTGGGGCGGGGGGGGGGTTCAGGGTATCTTCGAGATTCAGCCCAGTGTTGACCTCTTGGAAAAAACCTGAGAGTTGTGGGGGGGAGGGGAGGGGGAATTTCCGACAGTTGGGACTTTCTTCCAAGGGGAGCCTTTGATCGGTGGATCACACCAGCAACTCAGCAACTGGAGTATTCACAACTACCTCCACACACGGAGTGCGTCTGCGTCCGATGCATTCATTCGTCAGAAGGTGGCGTGTCGCTGAAGCTGCTCCGCTCAATTACGCTGTGCATCTGTACAAGAAAGAGAGAGCGAGAGAGAGAGAGAGAGAGAGAGAGAGAGAAAGAGAAAGAGAAAGAGAAAGCGAAAGCGAAAGCGAAAGAGGAAGAGGAAGAGAAAGAGAGAGAGAACAACAAAAAAAAAGTTTCGGGTACCCAGCACCCCAAAACCCAAACCCGAAGCATCTCCAACACCTGAACTACTGCGGTCCAGAAGATGTCTGAGCGGCAGAGGCCACCAACGTCGTACCTTCAGCGTTTGGAAACGCATAGTGTTTTGGGTGGTGTCCGGTCTATACATTCGCAGGAGAGGAACGGTGGTTTCTTGAGCTTCAGGATAGGGTTAGGAGCCGCCTGATATGAGAGGGGGTGCTCTTAGAAACCCAAGCAAATGTTCACAGTACACCCTACTGGCTCCGAGCCCCCAGGCAGGTTGAAGTTGAATCTGTGGCCAGGGAACTTTACGCTTTAGGCCGTTCTGGGTGTACGAGTCAGGGGGTCGAGTTCTTCGCCAAATTGCGCTTAGGAGCTGCGAATCTCAAGTAAAATCAGGGGAAGAGCAGATTCCAGAAGGTCCCAGCCCCATCTCACTGCCGGGGCGAGACCCCCCCCTCCGTCGTGTGTGGTTGTTGGGTTTTGGGATAAGGGCTATTTAAAGGTTTTAGCGCCTGGGGTTGAGACTTAACCAGCCTGAATCTTATAAACTGCTCACTGAAAGCCAGCCGTTGAAGATCCTTCAAGCCCCCCAGTCCAGAAACTCCCAAGATTTTCTGAACCTGCAAAGGTTGCATCCTCGGCACTTCTTGAGGATGGCGTAGCGGAGCATGAAGACCTCAGCACAGGTCGAAAAGGAAGCTCTTGGAAAACTCCTCGGCGCCTGGCCCCGGGGTCCCTAAGATTCCTCGAAGGTGCCGTGAGGCCGCCGGTGGCCGCGGAGATGGTGGTGTTCATGGCCACCTGCGGATCTTCAAAAGGCTCCCTCCCCTCCGGAGCCAGGTGTTGGTCTTTTTTCTTTGTTTTTTTTTGGGGGGGGGGGGGGGGGGAGGGCATTGGCATTGGGTTGAGTTGAGAGGCTAAATGATATACGTGAGAAACACAAATACTTCCGCCGGTGCGCGCGGCTGCAGTTCGCGCCTATTTTTGCCCCCCCATTTGCACACACAATGCTTGCATTATGGGGTTCGAAAAGGATGCATACGTTGTGAAGCAAGCTCGCACCGCTTAAAAAGGGGGGGGGGGGGGGGAGCAGCCCCCGTTTGCTAGCACCAGGCTCACATTTGATGGGATTTGGACAGGATGGATTGAAGAATGGTGGTTCTTCGCGAGCTGAGGGCTTCGGAGTTTAGGACTTTGCGATGGTTTGTGGCCCTTGCGGCCTTACAAAACCCTGCCACGCCCAAATTACGAAGACCGCACATCCAAGAATCAAGCAACCTTACTCCCTAAACCTCAGGAGCCCCTGGGCAACCCTTGAAGATCTCCAAGCCCCAAGCCCCAAGACCCAAGCCCCAAACCCTAAACCCTAAACCCTAAACCCTAAGCCCTAAACCCAAAACCCTAAACCCCGGAGTGCCTGGGCCGCTAGGGCACCCATGAGGCCATCGCTCATGCTGAGGGTGGAGCCAGGGTTGAACCCATACCACCCGAACCTCGTTCGGTTTCTTGAGCTTTGCTCTGGGACTTTTTGGGTTTTTTTTGGGGGGTTTAGGGCTCTTAGGGGTCGGATGTCGAGCTTACACGGGAGAGACGGGGTCTGGTCCTATCCCTCTGCCATGCGAGGGAATCAACCTGGAGCTCCTGGAGCCTCCGGATGAAGGCTTCCAGGCTCGAGGCTGTTGGAGTTGAGAGAATTTGGACAATATCAAGCTGCGCGAAGATGGTGGCTAAACCCAGCACAAGTTGACAAGGCACCAGAGGGCGAACGTGCCCAGCACGACCAGAGGAAGATTGTGGCACTCAAATTCCTGCGGCTTCAACGATTGCAAGTGCAGATTCGCTCGTTCCTAAAGCAAACTTCCTTGAAGCATGCGGACAGTGCAATCACCCCACCTAGTACATTACAGTCACCCCATCTTCATTGTTGCCAAGATTGTCAGCAGTGTCAGAGCCCAGCAGACCGGTCAATTCACAGCGGCACCAAGGAAGGAGAAGGCGAACAAGCGATGATTTACAACGCGTCGCCATTTTACCGCTCCCTTGCGATTGGGTTAACCCCTTCCAGCTTCGCCTTCAAAACTTTCAGTGTGCCCGGAAGCCTTTTATTTTCTGCTGGCCGGTACGGACCTGTTGGCTTGCCCTCGGTCTCAGGGTGTGATGGAACCCCTTCCCTTCTGGGAAGCCTTCAGGGCCGGCGCATCTCGCTTCGAGCCACGTGGCCCAGGTATACAACGCCTATGCGAGCTTCGGGCGGTATCTTCTGATCTCCGGGCAGACAAAGCCATGTGTCGTTCTCAGTGGAGAAGCAGTAAGGTGCCAGTGACAATGTGGGAGGGATGCAAGAAGTGGTCCAGGGTGCGAGACTAGGGCTTTGCCTTCATAATTTTCGTAATTATGCTGCTACCTACTAACAGCTAGCCACGGTTGGATCAAGCTGCCCATGTGAGCTTCTGGCCTCCTCGCGTGCCAGATGACCGCCTCTTTTAAGCAGACGGCAGGTGCTCCCTTTGCCACATTGCAGAGTCTGTGTGGCAATGTCCCAGGACTTTGACCGCACGCCGGGTTGGGTGGACTGTTTCACTCGCACAGCTGACTTTGCACCTTTGAACAAAACCTGGCTGGAAGCCCACGAACTAGGACAACAAGGGCCTGCAAGCTGCTGGAACATGAAAAAATCAGCCCTTGGTCCTCAGGATTCACAAAGCGGCCCTTGCGGGGGCCGAGGATAATGGTGCCCACCAAGGCGCTGACGCCTTGAGGCCGCTTTTGGATGCTTCTTAGGCGGAAATTTCCGGGGGGGGGGGGGGGGGGGTGGGTGGCTTAAATAGGGTCTATTTGGAAGCTGGGACTCGGGTTTTCTTATAGCCATACACGTTTCCACGAGGGTACGCTGCTGTCACGTCAGTCGTACTATGGAGGCCTCAGGAACAAGAACCAGGTAGTTCCTCTTTTCTCTTCTCTTTTTCTCCTCAATCCTAAAGTCGAAGGCTCTCGTGAGGAGAAGAGAAGGGAGAGAAGGAGGGAAAGATAAGAGGAACACGATTTTCATGGGAAGAGCCAAGAAAAGAATAGAAGAGAGATAAAACAAGGCGCAAAGAAGATGGTACTCTTCTTTATCTATCCTCTCTCCCTTATCTCTCCGTTCCCTCTGTCTTTTCGAAATGAGAAAAACAAAAAGAAAGATGAAAAGAAGAAGGGTTAGGAAAAGAGCCGAAGAGATAGGCCGAAAAGAGGGGTATGGTGAAGTACGGCAAAGGTCCACGCACAAGGAGTCACCTTCTGCTTACCCTTCCACTGCTTGATTTTACAAGCTCCTTTCTTGTGTTTTATCAGTTAAAATTAAAAGGAAACAGAAGGAGAGAAGGGAAAGGGAAGTGAGAGAGGAGAGACAACAAGGAGGCCATTTTAATTTCCTGTGAGTTATCAAAAGGAATGCAATATTATGGGAAGAGCAATGGAAAAAAAGAGTGGAAGAGAAATTAAGACAGGAGAGGGAGGTGCAAAAATAAGGCAAAGAGAAGATGGTGCCGTTTTCATCTCACCTCTCGTTCTTATCTTCCTCTTCTCTGGTTCTTTTCCCTGTGAAATAAAAAAACAAAAGGAAGGACAATGAACATATAAAGGAACCCGTTTTCGTTTTCCGTTTGGGCACAAGGAAAAAAACAGAGGCGATAGGGCGAGAGGAGGGGTTTGCTGAAGCATGGGGAGGGTGTACGGGCAAGGGGCCAACTCCGCCCACTTCCCCCATCCATTGAAAGAGGAAAAGGAACAGGGCCTCCATTCCCCTCTTATTCTTCCTTTCTTGCGTTTTTGTCGTTTAGAAGGGAACAGGAGAAGAGGAGGGAGAGAGAAGGAGAGAGGAGACATAAAAAGGGTTGCATTTTTAATGGGAAGAGCAAAGAAAAGACCAGAAGAGAGATGATGGGAGAAGAGGGGGAGACAAAACAAGGCGCACAGAAAATGGGCAGATAAGAAGAGAGGAAAGGGAATGACCAAGTACAATGAGGAGTTCTTCAATTTCCCTCCCTATCTCTTATGTTACTTTTCCTTCTTGTGGGGTGTCCCTTTTTCTCTTGAAGATGCAGAAAACGATTGAAAAGGACACCCGTTCCATCGCCCATATGTAGGGAAAGAGAGAGAATCATGAGCATCAGCTGGGCTTGCTGCCAATCCAACATGGGCGTCCCTTTTAATCGCATTCTGTGTCCTTTTTTCTCGCTTGAAGATGCAGAAAACGATCCAAAAGCACATCTGTTGGAGGAAGAGAGAAGGAGAGAGGAGAGATACCAAGGATTGCATATTTAATGGGAAGAGCAAGGAAGAGAATAGAAGACAGATGAATAGAGAAGATGGCGCTCTTCTTTATCTATTCTCTCTCCCTTGTTTCTCCCTTCCCTCTTTCTTTTCGAAATGAGAAAAACAAAAAGGAAGAACTATGAGAAGGAGAAGAGTAAGGAAAGGAACAGAAGAGATAGGCCGAGAGGATGAATATGATGGAGTATTATGGAAAGGCTCACGCGCAAGGAGTCACCCTCTGCTTACCTTTTCACTGCTTTATCATATGAGTTCCTTTCTTGTGTTTTATCAGTTAAAAGGAAGCGGAAGAAGAGAAGGGAAAGGGAAGTGAGAGAGGAAAAGGATGCTATGTTTCCCGAAGCGTGCTGCAAGGAATAGAAGAGACAGGAAGCAAGGAGACGGAATCACAAAATAAGGCGCAAAGCTGTACATATCATCTCTCCCTTGTCTCTCCCTATTCCCTTTCGAACTAGAAAAAACCATTCTTGCTTTTCACAGATAGGTTCCCTCTCTCCTCTTCAGGAAATCCCCTTTCCCTTATGTTGCTTTTTGAAGCGAATAAGAAAAATAGCAGATAAGAAGAGAGGAAAGGGTCAATTTCCCTCCCTATCTCTTATGTTGCTTTTCCTTCTTGTGGGGTGTCCCTGTTTCTCTTGAAGATGCAGAAAACGATTGAAAAGGACACCCGTTCCATCGCCCATGTGTAGGGAAAGAGAGAGAATCATGAGCATCAGCTGGGCTTGCTGCCAATCCAACATGGGCGTCCCTTTTAATCGCAGTCTGTGTCCTTTTTTCTCGCTTGAAGATGCAGAAAACGATCCAAAAGCACATCTGTTGGAGGAAGAGAGAAGGAGAGAGGAGAGATACCAAGGATTGCATATTTAATGGGAAGAGCAAGGAAGAGAATAGAAGACAGATGAATAGAGAAGAGGGAGAGACAAAACAAGGCGCAGAGAAGATGGCACTCTTCTTTATCTATTCTCTCTCCCTTGTTTCTCCCTTCCCTCTTTCTTTTCGAAATGAGAAAAACAAAAAGGAAGAACTATGAGAAGGAGAAGAGTAAGGAAAGGAACAGAAGAGATAGGCCGAGAGGATGAATATGATGGAGTATTATGGAAAGGCTCACGCGCAAGGAGTCACCCTCTGCTTACCTTTCCACTGCTTTATCATATGAGTTCCTTTCTTGTGTTTTATCAGTTAAAAGGAAGCAGAAGAGAAGGGAAAAGCAAAAATTGAGCCCAACATTTTAGGACCAGGGCTTGCGATCTGACTCTTTGGAGCAAAAATCGATTCCAAAATCTTAGGGACCAGGGCTTGCGATGTTACTCTTTGGAGCAAGAAATGAGCCCAAAATCTTAAAGACCGGGGCTTGCGATTTCACCTTTTGGAGCAAATACTGGGCCCAAAATCTTAGGGACCAGGGCTTGCAATTTGACTCCGTGGAGCACAAATCGACCCCGAAATCTTAGGGACCAGGGCTTGCGATTTGACTCTGTGGAGCACAAATCGACCCCGAAAACTTAGGGACCAGGGCTTGCGATTTGACTCTTTGGAGCAAAAATCGACCCAAAAATCTAGGGACCAGGGCTTGCGATGTTACTCTTTGGGGCAAGAAATGAGCCCAAAATCTTAGGGACCAGGGCTTGCGATGTCACTCTTTGGAGCAAAATTGAACCCAAAGTCTTAGGGACCAGGGCTTGCGATTTGACTCTTTGGAGCAAAAACTTAGGGAGCAGGGTTTGCGATTTGACTCTTTGGAGCAAAAACTGGGCCCCAAATCTTAGGGACCAGGGCTTGCGGTTTGACTCTTTGGAGCAAAAATTGAACCCAAAATCTTAGGGACCAGGGCTTGCGATTTGACTCTTTGAACCAAAAACTGGGCCCAAAATCTTAGGGACAAGGGCTTGCGATGTCACTCTTTGGAGCAAAAAATGAACCCAAAATCTTAGGGACCAGGGCTTGCGATTTGACTCTTTGGAGCAAAAACTGGGCCCCAAATCTTAGGGACCAGGGCTTGCGATTTGACTCTTTGGAGCAAAAATTGAACCCAAAATCTTAGGGACCAGGGCTTGCGATTTGACTCTTCGGAGCAAAAACTGGGCCCAAGATCTTAGGGACCAGGGCTTGCGATGTCACTCTTTGGAGCAACAATGAATG